ATACTCGTCAATACAGCTTAGATATTGGTCACTTCCTGTAGAAAAGACACTGGGGAGTGAGTTGCTGAATAAGCCAGAGGGTGTACACCTATCCCAGGGAACTCACTGTCCAGGTGAGGGGGACAGACAGCATGCAGGTAACTAAACACATGAATGGGATGGCTTCAAACAGAGATGAGAGCTCAGGAGAAGCACCCACTGTGAGAAGTTAATATTGAGTGGTATAAGTGGTAGGAGGCCTCAATTGATTTTGGTGTCAGTAAAGGTCTTAGTTGGGGTATTTCATCTGTACTGGGCCCAAATTAGAAATAACTATGGATGCAGAAATATGGATAGCGTTGTTCCTAGTAGTAAGGACAAAAAAAAGTAAGCTCCATGGGTCAAATCATGTGCTTAACATTGGGAATAAAACACAAAGAAGGTATAGTTTTACCTTCCAGGGCCCTAGGAGTATCTGCAAGGAGTAACAGACCTATAAAGAACCCAATTTCCTAAATCTGGAAGGAGATACTCTAGATCTATCACAGCCTTCCCTGTTACATACTGGAGTTGCCATATCAAAACTCAGCCTTGATCTTGTACATTACTCAGACTATTTATTTTTAACTCATCCAAGAAAAGTAGCAGGGTTCAATCACTACAATTCTGGACACAAGACAGAGCAGAGATTCAGTCTCTGACTTGCTCCACACCCGGGAAATAATTCACTTTTGTAGTGGCCGTTTCTGATGTGGAATATCTGGACCAGGTTTCTCACTAGGCAGAATTGCTGAGTGGCATACTGATGTTTAATGAAGGTCTGTAGCTGAGCATCACCGGCCCAGTAGCCATCTCAGGTTCTGAGCTGTTCCATATTGCCTCTACGTGGTTTGCTTGCTTGCTTTTTCAGCACAGGGCTTTTCTGCGTAGCCCTGCCTGTCGTCGAACTCTTTGTAGACCAGGCTGGAATCGAATGCAGAGATCCACCTGCCTCTGCCTCCCCAGTGCTGGCATTAAAGGTGTGGACCACCACCGCCTCTACTTTTTAATACTGCTAGCTCTATGTCCTAACCACTGAAAGCCTACCTCCACCAGAGGGCACTCTGCTCGGACCCACCCAGCTTGCCACCCTGGCTCCGTGGGTTAATCTTCTCCACAGACTAGCTTTGGAAAGTGGACCTAGGTCTTATGAGAGACAAGTCCAGGACTCCATATCCTTCCCTCCATACTTCAACACCTAACTTGATGCACTACCTGAAGGAACCACGCAATACATCTTTGTTGTTTGATCATTGCTAAGTTATAGAATAAAGTGACAGATAAATAGAATAAGGAGTGAAGAATAGTTTTGTTTTGTCTTCATTCATCTGTTTTACAAACCTCTATCATCCAGGGAGCTCGTGAAGTAAAAAGGTGTGATTGTTGCTCTCCAAGAATGAGCTGAGCCCACTTATAAAGGCAATTAAACAACAGTACAAACAGGAAAGGATGGCAGACATTAAACGCCACTGGGGAAGTAGGGAAACAGAACTCTTTGGGCCCTGATAAGTCTTGGGAAATCTCGATGTCCTGTCCAAGGACTGCTTAAATCACTCTGAACCAGCTGTCTAGCTCTGTCACCTGCTACAGGTGTGAGTTCAAATGAATGTTGCCCTTTGAGTCTGGACTCCTTCATCTGTAGAATGAGAGATAATCTAATGAATCTCGGAGAGTGGGGGGATTAACTGTTACTCTGTACATTTAGTTCATAGTAGCACAGTGGCTGGGGTATAGATGATACTACTATTCAATGTATTAACATCACCATTACTGGTGCCTCCTCCTAACCCCACTTCAAAACTTCCTAGCTATTCCACCTTAATCAAGTAATGCTTTGTTTTTGTTTTTACTTTCGTGAGATGAGGGGCTATAGTGGGGATCCAACCAGGGATTCATATGAGCTAAACAAGCACTTAATCAATTGAGCCATATCCCAGGTCCAAATGGAGATAATTCTTCATGCCAATGCCTCAGTTTTCCCATCTGTAAAATGTGATAATAACAGCAACTACATAATAATTACTATTAGAATTCACTTACAATATTGGAGGTTGAGATATTATATACAGGACTTTGGTATTCCCTGATGCACTGTGACTACTCAACAAGCCAGGGCTATATTCTGTGTCATGTGATCTCACCATTCATAAAAACATCAAGGGGAGAGCAGAAACAGTGGGAGACTGCAAATGCCTGCAACTCTGCACACCACACAGATCATCCGAGATAATTAGATAAAGTAAAATAAACTTAAAGTCTCTTCAAAGTAGAATTTGTCGCCGAAACACTTAATCTTTAGGTACTACAAAAGATCCCAAAGATACTGGTGAGAACAAAGCAGAATAAAAAGAAACTAGAGCAGAAAGTCCTCTGCTGGTCATGAAGAGAACTGCAGTCTTACTGCAAAGAAGACTGGGTGGCCTTCCCTGTAAGCAGAAGTGCTTCAGCCTCCCTACTTGTTGATAGGGAAGGAAAGACACCAGTTCCATCTTGTGTACAATTTAAAAGAAAAAATGGAATCATGAACCACTAGATGGTTATGACTTATAAACAAGTAAGATGCAAATTTAGCAATTTTTATATAAACAAAACAATGCATTCTAAAAATCACTACATGGGACTTTCCAAGACAGAACCAAAAAGAAAAGACAGAGAAAGTGTCTAAGAATTCAGCGCTTCGACTCCCAAAAGTGCACCCTCCACATGGAAGCCCTTTCATGTCCGAGTGCAGTACAATCTGAGAAGAAGGAGGGAACACCTGAGGGGCATGGGTGGCACACACACAGCTTGCCTGTTCACCTGGTGCCAGTTCAGACCACAAATCACGACCATGACCAATGCCTTGCATCGTTCACACCCTGGCTCATCTAATCCCTAGCTTTTAGGGTTCCATCCCCTGAGAGGGCCACCCTCCTGCATGTCACAGAGACATGAAGCCCTTTGTGGCTGACACAGCATAGCAGGGGACTGGATGGACCTTTTATGCAAGGTTACGTTGTAACCAGTCCTGAGGGATACAGTCACAGCCTCACCAAGTTCTCATACTTCCATCTGTATTCAAACAAGACCACTGTGTGGAGTCTGTGTGAAAACACAAACTAACATTGGTATCTGAAAGAAACTATGGTGAGGATGAAAAACGAGAGCCGAGCAGCTAATACACAATAACATCTGTCAGAAAGAAGTCCCAGGCCCTGGCAACTTGCTGGATGCAGCCATTCTTTGGGAAAGCCAGAACTTCCTAAGCCATCGGGCTATTGCCTTGCTGGGATGACATCTTGGATCACTCTAACTCCCTTGTTTTTCTTAGAATGTGAGTGCCACTGTCAAGGCCAATTGTCTATTTATAACTTCAAACCCATAGGACACTCACTACCTTCTTTTCTCTCTCCTGAGTGTGCCTGGGGCAGGGGGATCTATTGGTATCTAAAATGACTCCCATACATATCTCTATTTTGCCACTGGGGTCTCCTTCCTGCAGCCAAGGTCCAGGGTCAAAGAAGCCATCAAGAGAGCACTAAATTGTCTTGACTGCATTGTTTTAGGGATTTGGGGATCTTTTTTTACTGAAATCTGCATAGTTGCAACTCCCATAAAGTCCCTACAAAAAGCAAACACCCAGTCATTTCAGAGAGGGGCAACTGGGCAGTTTAGCTTAAGCTGCAGTATTCCCTGAAGAGTTCATTCATGCGTCATTGAGTAACCAGGAGTTCATTGGAGCCATGACAGCTAGGTCTCCAAAGACAAAGAATCTTGGCATGTTTGCAGCCTTGCATGGTTCCTTAAATCACATGTGTTTTTGACAATGCCCTCACAATTCAACTCTGTATTGCCAGCACTGCCTCCCCAACGCTTTCTGTCCTGTAGGTATCATGCATGCAGTCCAGTCTTAGAACACAAATGGGACCAACACATGTGGAACCAAAGGCAAGGTTAATTTCCCAAGAATCTCCATATCAGGGGATAAAAACAGGCTCATGTCACCCGTGGTCAGTGCAGTGGACCAGTTTTGAAAACTTTATCAAAGAGGACACACTGAGTCAAAGAGAGGCAGAAAGGTTTCTTGGTCTCTTAAAAATTCCAGAGAGGAAAATCTCCTATTACAATCATCCAGTGTGTAGCCCTCCTGTGAGAGGTGTGGTTTTATCAAGGCTGATAGGGAGTCAGTGCTTTAATAGCAAGGTAAGGAGGGAGACAGCCTTGCCCCACTTAACACAAAATGTAGCCAAGATTCTTCTCCTCCTTCCCAGGTTTGCAATCCTCAGTCCTAGAAATCAACCCTGACCCAGCACAACACTAAAGTCTAGGTTGTTTTTTTTTTTGGTGCCAAGTTTTGCACATACTGATTTGGTGGATAGAGCCAACAATATAGCCCACTCCTGTAAATGACATTTTCTACAGACAAATCAAAGGACATGGTGCTAGTGTCCAAAAGCCATGATCAGACAGGAGAACACATCCGTCTCTGCCCACTGTCTCATGGAATGCAGACATCCCAGAAAAACATAGGTAAAACCAAGCTCAGGAAAAGAGGTTGTGCGGAACCCGGTCCCTGGTGGCAACTGTCAGTAGCACGGGTGGAGTGGGACATCCCCATCAAGCCATGTCCCTGATTTGGGGCTCATTAACTTCAGAGAGATCATCCATGCTGAGTCTCAGGCAAGTCGCAGCTCACCATAGTCGTTAGGCTCAGGAACAGGCATCATCAGGACCACTGCCCTCAAAATGAGACCGCTATCCCTCACCCTTGACAAACCCCTGAGTCCAAGAAGCTAGATTTGGGCAACACAGATCTCCCCTGGCACGTCCCTGTGATTGCCACATTCCTTGGCAGAGCAGCCAGCTCATTCGGGAATTGTGCAGCGCAGGGAACTAGCGACCTCTCCACTAGTCCTGGCTTGCTCCAGTGCACACACCCGCACCCCCTGCCCCTGTCCCCCAGCCCAAACAAATCATTATTTCATAGAATGGCAGTTCCCTACCTGAGGGTGGCGCTCTCCCCTTGCCTGACCGTCACGTTGTCCATAGCTTTGGGAAAGGTGGCATCTCCGCTGCGCACCGGCACTCCTGTGGGTACAAGGAACAGCAGCCTGAGAGACACGACCACGAGGCACTTCCAGGGCAGGAACAGGTACCCACAGACCCCCATTCTCGAAAGCCACAACTTCCCAGAACTCCGGCAGCAGCACGCACACGCCCCCTGGGCGAGCACAGGAAGTGGGTGGGGTGGGGAGTGAGCGCGGGGACCCTGCGATGAACTAGCGGCGACCGCGCGTTGCACTGGGAGGAGAAAAGCGCGCAGACTCCTCCAAGTCTAATATTCCTCCCTCAAATCCAGCCTCAGTTCGCCAGTCTCCAAGAACCAGTTTCCGCGGCACACATCCGAGGACTTTCTCGGTGCTGCCTGTGTCCAGGAAGGTGGCCGGGAAGGAGAAACGCAAGGCAGGCAAGCAAGCGCACAGGTGCGGGTCTCAGGAGCTGCCTCTTCCCTGTAGCAGTTCAGGCATGGCACTTTGGACAGGAGTAAGCACTTTGGTATCCAACAGGGCTGTGGCTGGGTTGCATCCAGCTACCCAGATGTGGTCTGCGATTCCTCAGTCGAACAAGGGGAAATCTAGCACTTTCTTAAGTTTCAGAGCAAGGCTCACCGCCAGAAACAATCTGGAACAATAGCAGATGGAAAGTGGAGCACGCTAGAGGCGGTCCGGATGGTGCCAGGAGGCTACTGCTAAGCCGGCTTCGTGCAATCCGGACTCCGAAATCCTGCCGCAGAGCCTCGGTCAACTTCCTCGGAGCCCAGATGCGCGCCGCAGCCTGGGCTGTCGTCTCTGCAGCGCAGCAGAGGCTCGAGCGGCCCGGCAGGGCGGACCTTGGCGGTCTCTCGCCTGCTCTCTGGCTCGCTGCAGAAAGCGAAGCGCAGTCGGCACCGGAGCCGCGGACGCCACGCTCAGCGGCCGCCCCCGGCCTCCGCGCCGCCTTCCTCCCGGGAGCAGCCCCGATGCGCGCGGGCCCCGACCATCGGGGTTGTCATGGCAGCAGCTCCATCCCTGACCGCCACTTTCTCTGGGTGCCGACTCCAAGCAATCCAGCGGGCGGGTGGCACGGACTGCGCGTTCATCCCGGCGGGTGCGGGGTGCGGGAGCCCACCTTAACCCCCACCGCGCCGGGCCAGGGCAGGGCGGTGCACCACCTCTGGCCACTGGTTTAACCATTTCTGCATGTAAAGAGCAAGCTCTTCGCAATTAAGAAGACAAAGTTACAGTGAGGTCTTAATAAGCCCTAGACATCTTAATAAGGGTCACAAACTAACTAGGAAGAGAAGAGCCTGCAGCATGCATATGTGCACCTTTAAAATGGTCAAATTAATTCTATCAGCATTTAGAGTACAGTGTTAGGAGGATGCTTTAAATAGTCTCATTTTTATTCAACGTTACACTACCCTCTGCACTCCACCCACCCCTAAAACCCCATAGACTAAACACAACCATTCTAAAGTGATTGCCCATGTAAAAAATAAATGTGGGAATTCCAAAGGCATCTTGGTGGGTGCAATGAGCAAAATCCCACAAAAATGTTGGTCAAGTACAGCACCGCCTTTCTCAACCCCCACCCCCACCCCAGACACTGAGTACGCTGCGGGGAAGGGGGGACAGGCATGGGCCACTGCCTGGTTTCTAAGGAAGATTCTCAGGGTTCTGGGTTCACACTCTGGCATACCTGATTTCATCTCCAGCAGGTGTGGTTTTCTTTATATCTTTGAAGCCCAAGGAAAGACTGGATATGCCTCAGGTTCTGTGGCTTCTCTGTCTGATGCTGGTTCCTCTGTGCCTACATCATGTTTCTCCCTTCACCCTAGTTCTGATGGACCATGCCTAGTCCCTGTGCAGGGAACAGAGTGGATCAGCAGGAACTGTGAGGGCAACACCAATAGGCTCCCTTCAGGGACTTCCAGTCCTGAGCTTGCAATAATAACTTAAAGTGTTCCTGGGGACAGGGAGAGGGATAGGATGGTTTTGTTTGCTTCCCATGGTCTTTCTATTGCATACAGTTGGGACATTATTTTAAAAACAAGCTATGAAAAAAACAGTGAAAAAAAAAGCTCTTCCTCAAAGCTATCCAACACCGATACCAAAACACGACTACAGAATGAAGATTAACCACAGGGTACTGGTATCAGGGGGCCATTGACACTATTGAGCAACGCAGGCCATTTCCATGTAGACAGCATGAGAGAATCTACAAGTACCCTTCTCCTACAATGTCCCCCTCACACTGCTATACCAGAGGGAGGGGAGGTCAGAAGTCAGCTTTGTGATAGCCAAATTGGAAGATGAGCAAACTTGTTTTTCTATTTTTGTAGTTACCCAAGCAATGCTGGGCCATGAAGTATTGAACAACTTTACACTGCAGGTGTCAAAATGCTTGACATCAATTCATTACTAGGCCAATTCCCTACTGTCTCCTCTGGTGACTTTTTCTGATATTAAAGTCTCAGGGAATTCATCCACTATTTTTGAACCCAGGGAACCTTTTGACATACAGCACCAAAAATGCTGGTTGTTGACTTATGGCAATTACAAATGCTTTTTTCCCAAAGTCTATTTTGTCTCATTTTTCCAGTGGGAAAATATGAAAATCGTAAATTAAACTATTTCATTCAGTTGAGCTGTTCATGAGTACACAGAGCAGGCTTGAGCTTCTCTTTGCTGAGTAACAGGCTTCTGAGTTTAAGAATCTTTCCTTAAAGCCAGCGTGTCACTCCTAATAATCCACCCACTATCCCTCCTCTGTCCCCATCACCACCCCACTTCCTAAGTGCCACACTCAGTGGAAACAAGTGCCAGACATGGGCAAGGGAAAGGAGCTCACTCTGGGCTTTGGAGTCATTTCCCTGCAGACCCAGGCCCTAGAATGGAGAGGCTGATTCCTTTCATGAATCTAGTTCAGTCTCATGCATCTAATTCCAGGTGGGTACAAATGAGCATTAGGTTTTGCATCTAGGAATGGAGATAATGACAACGAACAGCCTGTCCCAAGGGGCCTACATACATGATTAACTCTACAGGAAAATACTTAGAAAACCATTTAAGATGGAAGAGGCTTTATTAATACATTTTTCCTGCTACTGCTTCGTTATTATGGCTAGACAGAAAAATAATCCTCCAAAGCTCCTTGAGACACAGTCTATATCGGTGTGAATACACTTCATCTCAAACAGGCAACATACTCAAAAATACTGACCCTGAGGAGCAGTGCTGACCTGTAGCACCTGGGGGCTGTCCACAGAAAGCCCATGAGAGCTCAGGTAACCCTCATGGAGAACAAAGAAAAGCCACTCACAGGCTCTGCTTGGAGGACCCAGGGATCCAAACTCTATTCACAAATAAAAGTCAAGCAAGTGGCCAAAGGCCAGAGATGTCCACACAATTAACAAGACAGGTCTGCTTCACTCATACCTGCTCTTGAAGTGCTTTAAAAAGATGAAGATCAAAATTGCATGTCAATTGCCTTCCCATCCCCTAATCCCTAAATATAACCAGCACTTAGTGGCTTATCTTATATCCTGTCTCTGGCTTCATAAAAACTGCTGGATTTATTTTATTTTTCCCAGCATATCTGAGTTAATGAAAAAGGGATGACAGTCAGAGCAATTTCATTATTTGTGTTCTTTATAGAAACAACTTCCTCTCTGCCTCCTGGAAAGCAGACTCCTAACGAGTGCCACCTCCACCTTCTCCCCCTCCCATCCCCCTCTCCTTCCTCCCTTCTTTCTCACACACACATATACTGTACACATAAATCAACTTGTCACAGCTTGTCTCTGCACTGACAGCTGTAATTGCTTCAGGTTATAAAAATATCTTTAGGACAATACCTTTCAAGCTCTCTCTCTCTCTCTCTCTCTCTCTCTCTCTCACACACACACACACACACACACACACACACACACGCATGCATACACACACACACACTGAAGCAGACAGGAGTGTATGGCTTCTTATACCTGCTTTGGCACCTGGACACTGAACTAGGGTTTGAACAAGGAGAAGTCCTGACCTGATTGACAGGTAGCCAGCTGGGATTTTGTTTTGTTTTACTCTGTGTTACCTACAGCAAGGGGTGAGCAAAAGAGCTGTGGCTATTCCACTATGCAAGACACAGGGGAAGAACGGTAGCTTAAGAAATGCCAGCTCAATTTCTCTACAAAGGCGAAAGGCCCCCCTCTCCTGGTAGATATTTCAAATAGGAGCACAGGCGAGATGAAAAATGCAAGGCAGTTAGTGAGTGGCGTGACATCAAATAGATATTGGAAGATTTAATCAGAAAGAGCAGTGTAAATCTGGATAAAGAGGTGCCTCCAGGGGTGTAGGGAAGGGCTGGGATTTGGAAAAATGCATGCTATTTTTGCTCCTCTATGAATACAAGATCACAATAAAAATCACTGCTAATCTGGGCTACAGTCCAGTGTGTTAGGATTTCAGTGGGAAGAGCAACAGGGCAACATGAAGAGGGGAAGAGGGCTGCACGAAGAGAAAAGAGGTCAAAAACAGAGAGATCCGAGAAGAAGGAGATGAAGAAAAGGCAGGGTCATGGCTGCCAGTCCATGGGCTTTGAAACCCACAGAACTTTATAAGAGATGCACAAAGCACAGAGATGGTAGGGGGAATAAAGCTATGGAGGGCAACTGAATGAGATAAAATTAAAGTGCCAAGAATACAAAGGGCATGTATTCAGAGAGCACATCCCAAGAGTCAGAGAGGTTGGGGCAAAATTGTCTCTTGTGTAAGATTTAGGTCATAGTAAAGCCTCAGACCCAGAGAGTCGCAGAACGATGTGTCACAATGGGTGTGGGGAGACAGGGTTCACATCCCCTTCACTTCAGGATGAAGTGGGTCACATTAGGTAGAATGCTAACGATGAGCAAAGCAGGGCAAGATCTCGGAACTCCTGACAGCTGGTCCAGGCGTATGCCCATTATTCCACAACTATGGACACTGTTGAACAGATGGGTAGCAAACACTGCTTTTAATGCTTCACCTGGGGCCATGCAGACAACCATGGGGGGAACCACACACTGCTCCTCATGCCTCTGGGTGTTCAGTGATGCATTCAGTAAACCAGCATAGGTAGGGCCTGTGTTGAGAACTAGATAAAGAAAGATGAAGGAAAGCACCCAGCACACCGGCTCGCCCTCTACTTACCAGCAGTCTGGTGCTCTTGGGTTCCTCAGAAGCCATTATTTACAGTGAGATTCGCAGATGTTGAAGTTCTAGGGAACCCTGACTTTTACTCCCCTCAGCTGAGGAAAATCAGTTGAACTCTACATTCCCCTTAAGAATTCAACCTGTGGTGCCTGTCCAGATCTCTTGCACCGAATTGGACTTTCTAGAGTCCTTGTTAAGAGGAAAGGAGTGCATCAGGGATGCCCTAATGTGACACAGATCCTCTAGTCAGGTAAGCCCACACAGAGCGTGCCGTCTTCCAGGAGAGACAGACAGACAGCGCATGCAGAGCTTCTCGGAGTAAAGAATACACTTGTGGTATGAGCACTGTGAGGAAGAAACGGAAGAAAACTAGTCACATCAAAAATGGAAGACCTTTACCTAAGGAGCTGATGCTAAGCTGTTGAGGAAGAATGAAGGGTAGGCGGGATGGCAGAGTCCTTGTAGCAGGCAAACTTCATAGACTCTACCCAATCCAAGAACAGAAGGAAGGCGAGCAGAAGCCGCCACTTATCTGGCTGTGTTCAGCCGAGCTTGGGGTGAGACCTGGTAGCTCTGTCCCCTGTGGTATGATATGTGCACTCATGCACCCGTTCAGTCCATATTATCTACCCAGAAGGACAGTGGGTT